AGAGTATTGCCTCAATGTGCATCCATTTAGCTATAAATAGGACCTTGCTCTTTCGAGGCAGGCGCCGGAACCACTGAGCTAAATCCCCGGCCCAATATTAACTTTTAATGACCTTGTTTTATGTTTTTTTCCTACATAGATAGCAAAATTTAGCTGACCAATCAAATCACCTTTGCTTGACATAGTAATTTTCTTAGGCTAAATGTCAGGGAATGGAATTGCTGGGTCAGAGTATCCAGAATTTTTGAGGTATAGAATACATATTCCTAGATTGCCTTCCAGAAGATGGTGCCAGTTAATATTCCCATCAGCAGTGGAGAAACTCTGATTTCCTTCCTTCTGAGTGTGATCTCTTTAGTGACTCTGTTAAGTATCTATTTTTCCCTTTAAATGTCTCTTATCTTCACTGATCAGCCAGTAGTCCAGATGCCTAGTTTCCTTTTCTTTTCTGCTGTAAAGCCCCATGCATACTTATTTTTTCTGTGTGACAAAATTACCTTTTTTCTGTACCTCACACACTAACTTTTTTTTTTTTTAGTACCAGGGATTGAATTCCAGTCCTTCCGCTTGCAATGCAGGCAACGGAACCACTGAGCTAAATCCCCAGCCCTCACACACTATCATTAACCAGCACCACTGTCCAGTTTTCCATATCAGAATACATGTGATGTTTGAGTTCACTATCAACAGTTTTCTTCATTTACCCTAAATTATCAATTACCTTTGGATTTTGATTTTTCTTCTTTCTTTAGTTAACATTATAATTTTAATATTCAAACATCATATTTGTTTGCATAGGTAACAATTCAGCATTTACCACAGGTTATACAATAAAAAGAGTCCTACTTACTCTGTTCTTAGATACTCTCTTCAGAGGCAGCCAGTTCACAATCTTGAGTGGTATTCTAGAGATATTTAGGATGTATAAGCAACTATATTACCATTATGATTTTTTCTCCATGATATGAGAAAATGAAGTCTAATTGGTTCTCATTAAGGCTTGGAGCCTTGGTTCTTCCCAGCTTATATGGTTCTTTAGGCATTGGAAATATGGTCCTATAGCCATATTCCTATTATTATGGCCACTTTTTCCTGACAGAAAAGAAATGTGGATTGTCTTGAATTCCTTTGTAAGTGCAGGTTTTTCCCCTCTAGGAATCAAAAGTAAACCATGAGAAGTCCCATATTAAGAGCCCTAAGCCTGCTGAAAGCCCCCAGCCGCCTGCTAAGCAGTCTGATCAGCCTCTTGCTAGTTACGAGTATTATGATGCTAGTAACCACTGGTGCAAAGACTGCAATACCATCTGTGGGACCATGTTTGACTTCTTCACCCACATGCACAATAAGAAGCACATACAGGTAGGTATCTTGCCCTCTGTTGTTTGCACTATCACCCTCATTACCTTCCAAATTCTATGTGCCCATCTGTATTACAAAGCTGGAAGATGAAACATTCTCAATCTGAAGAGCCAAGAGATAATCAACAAAGGAGACTGTCCCTAGGGCTCAGTCCCGGGGACCCGCCTAGAACTAACCATCAGGACAAGTGTAAGTGAGGCCTCTGCCTCTTTTGATTCTTTACATGTCTGATTTTTTTGGTTTCATTTTATCTGTTTCTAGTACTTGCTCTAACATGTGTTTACCTTTTCCACAGGTGATTTCCATTTAAACAGTTGGCAGAGGGAATGGGTAGGGGGTGGGTAGCTAGGGGCTTCTGCTTCCCTGATCTTATATATGGGGGGAAAAAAGAGAAAAATGGGTCATTGAGTTTTTAGTACTGTTGTATGAGCACCTCTGCCTCTTGCAAATAGACACTGGATCCCTACCACAGACCTTGGGCTTCAAAGACCCAGAGTGAGGCCAAGCAAGATGTCATAAAGCGCACTGACAAGATAACTGTTCCTGCAAAAGGTATGTTTCCTCTCTAACTCTGTTATGGTTTCCTTACATTCATTTAAGGAAGAGATGTCCCTATACTAAGGTGCTAGGAAGTACCATAGCCTAGTCATACCTGTTCCTTTTAAACTTTTAACAAAGCTGTAAGAATGGCTTTGATGTATACATGTATTAAGTCCTAAAGGTAGAAAAAGAATGATCTCTACCCATATGGCTAGAAATCTAATAGATATTCAATATATAAGTACCACTTAAAATAGAGCAGAACAGCTGTCTTTGTCATTAGCTTATGCCCTAAAATCTTACTGATTTCAAGTCCAGGTATAAAGGACCATAAAAGGTGTAGTAATTTAACTACCTTTTCAACTAAGAACTATAACGTATTTTGAGGAGTTAAGGGGTAAGTTGAGAAGTAAAAAGTTCGTTTTTAAACTTTTCACTTTCTTACCTTCACAAAGTAATCAGTGATGGCTACCACATGGTTTAGCTCTGTATAAGATAGATTCCTGAGTAATTAATACTAACATGAGAGATCCTCATACAAATACTAGTGAGCAGGGCCTGGGATTTAGCTCATTTAGCTCAGTGGTTCCAGCACCTGCCTCGCAAGTGCAAGGTCCCAAGTTTGATCCCCAGTACAAAAAAAAAAAAAGGGACTGTTTTGGCTGTTTTAAACCTCCCAAGATGCCTTATGCTACCTAGAGTTAGAGAAGAATCAGTGACAAAGATAGGTCTGGCAAAGGAAACGCCTTATTTAGCCAATTAGTGTTCCCAAGAGGTAGAAGGAATAGAGGTTGAGAACTCAAGCCTTAGACTGGGAGGACTATGCCCTTGGAATTCATCCAAAATGCCTCTTCTGACTCCGGAGTGAGTAAGGTACAACCCTACAAAGGGTTGGTGAGATTTCCTTTGGTTACTGTCACTCTTGGTGGAAAAGACTTATTTCCTTAACTTCTATTTCTTTCAGGCTCTGAGTTTCTGATTCCTACCACTGGATTTTACTGCCAACTCTGTGAAGAATTTTTGGGGGATCCAATTTCTGGAGAGCAACATGTGAAGGGTCACCAACACAATGAGAAATACAAGGTTGGTTTTTGTAATACCCTGTGGAGTTTACCACCTTCTGTAGTAATTCTTTTAACTTTGTAGAATTTCAGAGTCAGAAATAGTCACTGATACTTCAAATTTCACATACCCACTAGGAGATTCTCCTCAATCCTGATGAGAGAAACTGAGGTAACAGAACAGCTAGCAGAGAAAAGATCACTTGAAAGGATTATTCGAGGGATTTCTGCTAAGTGAATTCTAACAGTGGCAGGAGCCAAGATTTTCTCTTACGGTTTTTTTTTGTTGTTTTTTTTTTGGTACTGGGGATTGAACTCACGACCTTGCGCTTGTGAGGCAGGCGCGGTGCCACTGAGCTAAATCCCCAGCCCTTTCTTACAGTATTTTGACCAGTTGTTGAACCTTTTATCTTTTCTCTTCCCAGAAATATGTGGATGAAAACCCATTGTACGAGGAACGGCGGAATCTGGACCGCCAGGCTGGCTTGGCTGTGGTCCTAGAGACAGAACGGCGACGGCAAAGTGAGCTAAAGCGCAAACTTAGGGAGAAACAAAATGAGGAGAAAGAAAAAAAGGCAAAGGTTGTGAAGGAAACAAAGGAAGGTGATAAGCTCTGTATGGAATTAGAAGACCAAGTCTCTGAGAGTTGGAACACCCCTGAAAAAGCTGAAAATAAAAGGAATATGAACATCAAACTCCAATTAAAAGAAGTGAAGAAGGAATCACCAACATTATCATCTTTTGGGAAATTCAGCTGGAAGAAGCCAGAAAAAGAAGAGGAAAAGAGTTCAGTGGTGGGCCCAAGTATCCTTAAAGAAGAAACTGTGGAAAGCAGTAAGGACAAAGAAGATGGCAAAGCTGAAACAGGGAAGGTAAAGCCCATCAAAATCAAGCTGTCTGGGAAAACTGTTGTTGCACATACCAGCCCCTGGATGCCTGTCGTGACAACTTCAACACAAACTAAAATTCGACCCAACCTGCCTATCCCATCCACAGTCCTCCGCAAATCAGGTTCAGCTTCAGTGAGCAAGCCTGCTCCTCTTAACACCTTTCTATCCATCAAGTCCTCTGGAACCACTGCTAAACCTCTGCCAGTGGTTAAGGAGTCTTCAGCTGATCTTCTCTTGCCTCCAGACATCATCTCCAAAGCTTTTGGAGGAGAGGAGGTGATTCTAAAAGGGTCTCCAGAAGAAAAAGTGCTGGCTGAAAAGAATGAGCTATCCCATATACCTGAGCAGATGTTGCCACCACCACCTCCTCCTCCTCCTCCTCCACCGCCACCACCTCCACCCCCACCTCCTCCACCTCCACCACCCCCAGTTATACTTCATCCCACTGCTCCATCTCCTGCTCAAGCAAATGCTGTCTTGGCTCCAGGAAAATCAAACTCTGCTGTATCTCAGACTCTCAGTTCTGGCTTCCTGGGTCCTAACATTCTGAACCCAGTGTTGCCAGTAGCTTTCAAGGCCTCAGCACAGCCAGCTGCCATTCCTTCTGATGAGACAGCACCCGGGGTGAGTGAAAGTGACCGAGATCAGACCCTGTTCTCTATGTTAGTTCGTCCTCCCCCACCCCTCTCAAGTGTGTTCAGTGAACAGGCCAAAAAGGTGGAGAAGCGAAATTCGTGCTTAGCCACAGCCAACGCTAAGGATCTGTATGACATATTCTATAGTAGTGGTGGAAAGGGGGCCCCTGAGACTAAGCTGAGTAGTGGGCCATTGGCCAATGGGGAAAATAGCCACCTTTCTAAAACTGAAAATTCACATACCTCTTCCACTTCTCCCTTGACGAGCAGTGCATCCCAAAAGGAATTGCCTCAAGATAGAGGGTTGGTCACTGCTTCTATAGTCAGCAACCATGAAAATGCCATTGTAAAAACTGTGGTGTCTGTAGGAAAACAGTCAGTTGTAAAGGAACTAGACCCGAAAAGCAGAGACCGTAGCTATAGTTTCTTACAGCCTCTGACAAGGTTGTGCCAAAACAGGCCGTATAAAACTACTACCCCAAAGACGGACACTTCAGCAACATGGACTTCTAGCTCTTTCCAGAGTGATGATAGGAATCTAGCTCCAAAGGGGCAAATTGAACTTGACCTGGGAGAGCCAGGGCCACCTGGTATAGACCCGGCTCCTCAGCTGTCAGGTATACACTGTCATACTAAGGAGTCTCAGAAATTGGTAGAAGTTCACCTCGTAGATTCTGGTAACCAATATAAGGAAAGCCAGGAGCTCCACAGCTGTAAAGATTTTGGAGAAAGTGACATAGAGACCAACATTGAACTAAAAGGAAGGGTAGCAGTTAAAGAGGGAGCAAGTGCCAACACTGGGCCCCACAGCATAGAAGACTCTAATTTGAACCATGGGAATAGATATATGTGGGAGGGAGAAGTAGAACAGCCAGAGTTGCTAATGATTGGCAAAGAAGCTGAACAGTCTAAGAAATTAATGACAGGACATGAAACTCCAAGTAAAGTAATCATTGAATCGAGTGCACAGGCTCTCTCTTCTACAAAGGCAAAAATAGATCCATTTCCATCGGAAGATAAGTCTTTACTCCAGCACTCACAAGATAAACTTGGGAAAATTTCCACCCCAGAATTGTTTCTTCAGTATCCATCAAGATCAGATGCATGTTTAACAGATAGTCCCTGGGAGCAAGGAGTTTCAGGTGGTAGTGAAAAGTGGCTAGAAAATTCAGCTGCAGAATTAGCTCCCAGAACTTCTAGGTACAGAAGTCTCAAACTCCAAAGAGAATTATCAAAAGATTTTCAAGGTAAAATGATCTATGAGCTGGCCATTTGGGATGAGAACAAGAGCCCAGAGAAAACTAAAGTGGAAACTGTAAAGCTACGAGATGTTCATTCAGAATTAACAGCAACAATAGAAAGCAAGGCCTTAGCAGACCTTGAAGCTACACACTTAAAAGTAAAGAATCTTGGTGCCCTGGGGAATCTGGGAGATACGCGTGTTGATATCTGTGATACTCGGGTAGACCTAGGACATAGACCCCCAACTACCCTGTCTCAGAAAGCATGTGAAGAAAATTCTGTATCACCTACAGGATATAATTCCTCTACCCGCAGCGACTTTGAAGGAGTCTCATCTTTTTCTGGGTTTCCATTAGGTTCTCCCAAAACCCTGGTGCTTAACTTTGCAACACAGGGTGAACACAATTCCTCTAATCCCAGAAGTGGGAGGATCACTTCTCCGAACATTGTGAAAACTGGACTTCCTACAGAAAAAGTTGACTCTGCTTTGGGCAGCCTAGAGAGAACACATCAGGCCCTTGACCTCTTGTCAGGGGGAAGGCTACATGAAGAAGTAGAAGAAACTTGCCAGTTACAGAAGCAAGAGTCACTCAGGTCGGAATCAGAAACACTTAGTCCTGCAGGTATTGGGCCATCTCCATGCCTCCCAGATCTCGTTGACTTTGTCACACGGACATCTGGCATTCTGAAAGAGAAACTGTGTTCTCCATTCTCTGATCCAGGTGACCCTCCTAAGTGTAGCTCCCTGGATATGGGACCACTACAGCTAGAAATCCCGAATGCCTCCATCAAAGAGGTAGCAGTTTTTCAAGCAGATGAGGACAGTGACAACCCTTTGAATGTCGTCAAACCCCCAGTTTCAGGGTCCCCTTCAGAGGAGCAAGTAGTTGGAGGCAATATGGTCCTTCAGGAAATGGCTGATGAAGCTGCAGTTGATCCCTTCCAGAACCAAACAGAATCCAATGTTCGTGACTAAACACCCAGGGCTCCTTGTGGATGAACCAAATTGGCTTCTAGAAATTGGATGCCCAGATGATCTAGGACTGGTTGGCAATCTCATCTAGAACCTACATCATGAGATGTAGTCAACATCTTAACAGTAAATATTTATGGAAGCTAAAATATGTACCTCCTTTCCTTTTTTCCTTTCCCCTTAAAATACAGACAAATCAATCATAACTTCTGTATGTATCTGTAAAAAAATATTTTCTGTTAATTTTTTTATCTTTTGGCCAAATTATTTTCTCCTACTTTGTCATTAAAGTCAGATGTCTGCCTGCTCACCACATAGTGTGCTTTGATTGTATTTTGGCTTTGATGCTCTCATTTCTGGAATGTGGGGGAGGAGGGAAACAACTGACTTCTCCAAGTGCTGTGTGGTATTCCTACCAAATATCCTGGGCAATTGATTGATCTGTGGGAGAAACACCAGAAAGCTTGTTGAAATGGAAAGCTTCTACTAATAAAGAAAGAATTGTTTGTCTCTAGGCTTTCATTTGGATGGGCCTGGTTTAACATTGTTTGAAATGCAGCGTGAGTAGCCCTTTTGTTTATTGTTTATTTACTTCCCTTATTGGCATGTCAAGTCCCATACTTCCCTTCTTACTCTGTTGTTTGAGATGGTCCTGCTGGCCCAGAAACCTATTTGGAAATGGCCTCAGTAAACATGGAAGAAAATCTGGCAGACTCACTTTTGGAAGACAACAAATCGGTAAGGTTTATTCATGCATGGCCTAATCCCAGGAGCAGATATGTTTTGGGGGAATCACTTTCATTTTTAAAATGACATTTGCTCATTGTACTCCAGTAACACTTTATATTAAATTGTTTAGCAACCATTTCTCTTCTGAAGAGGCAGAAGATCTGAAACTTGAGATTGAACTCATCTGTTCCACAACCTATGTGTATCCCTTCCTCTACCTACCTCTCCCTTTCCCAAGTTATTTCCACCACAGTGTGATGTTTTGGGTTGTACATTGTTAAAAAGATTAAAGAATTTATAAGTTGGCTTGAACATGTTTAACTTTATTTTTAATGTGTTAATTTTATGGAATAAATGCATTAATCTCATGTTTCTTTCTGGATTGTTTTGAAACCACACACATTTGAACTTAAAGGAAGACTAAAATAATGAACCCCTACTGCCCTATTTGTTCCCACCTTGAGTTTTTCCCCACTTGTCAGAGTTACTTCCTTCCTACCAAAAGGTTAGGTTAGATAGTCTATGCCCCTGTGCTCCCAGATAGGTGGTCAGAGGCCTCGGTGGTCTGGTATTGGTGTCTTCTTATTGTGAAGCTCTTATATACCCTTTTGTTGGCTCAGGCTGTTCTAGGCACTGATTTTTCTGAGGGCAATCAGGTTCTTGCTGAGGGTTCTCTTAGGAATCAGGGAGTCAGTCCTCAGATATTCTAACCTCTGTCCCAGTTTCCTTCTGCCATCCCTGTTGTCAGCAATTTGTAACCTGGCTCAACATAGTTTTCTGAGTCCTTTTCTCCCACCTATTCCTCAAAGGTAATATATAATATTACTAATCTTATTCTCAGAATTATTCTTTTTTTTTTTTTTTTTGTACCGGGGATTAAACTCAGGTCGTTGCGCTTGCACAGCAGGTGGTGAAACCACTGAGCTAAATCCCCGACCCTCTCAGAATTATTCTTCCCTTATTTCCATGTGTACAGAGCTGTAGAATCCTTAAGCTGAATTTCAGGAGGCTACTTAATTTTTCTAGAGCCTTAAGTAATGTCAATTTAGAAGTCATCCTGGCCCCTCTTCATGTTGTGGAAAGGATACAAATTTGAGAGAACTAGTCATTAAATATGCCTCCATCATTTGCCTTGCTGTAATTTTGGACAAGTTGCTTTATCTCACTGTGTCACAGGGTTATTTTAAAATGAGGGGTCAGTATCTTCTCAGCACCAAGCTGAGGGTGATTACTCAGGGTCAAGCTATCCACTGAGTAATCTCTAGACTGACTTTTTCAGCTGTAGACAATTGAGCACACTTTTCTGATCTGGAAATCACAGGCTTAAAAAGATGTCTTTTAATAGAGCTTAAACCCATGAGCTTTGGAGAAATTTGTTTTCTGTTATTTTTTCCTATCCTAGGATGTTATCTGTAGGAATTTGGGGGACATAAGAGTTAAAAACTAGTTTGGCTGAGGGCCAGGGATTTAGCTCAGTGGTTCCGGCACCTGCCTCGCAAGTGCAAGGTCCCAAGTTCGATCCCCAGTACCAAAAAACTACTTTGGCCAGGCATGGTGATGCATAGCCATAGTCCCACCACTAGGGAGGCTGAGGCAGGAGAATTGCCATGAGTTTGAGGCTAGCCTGGGCTACATAGTATAAGGCCAGCCTGAACTATATAGCAAGACCTTGCCTCAAAAAAGTTTGTGCTGATTTTCAGGCCTGTTAATTTATTAAGTTCCACTTCTCTTTGGGGAAAGATAGAGTTAGGGAAAGAGTGAGGAGTTAATCATATGCAGGTCTTAACCTCAGGGAATTAACCTAGAGTTAGGAGGGGATCCATATGAGAGGGACGATCAGGGAAGACAGGCACATTTCAGGAAAGACAGCTAGTTTAGGTAGATGGGGCTGGAGTACTTAGAGCCAAAATTTTGGTAATGACAGTAATTTCTGGGTAGCTTCAGGATTTATACCAAAGTTGTCTACCAATCTGGAGCTGTTTTAGAAGGCTCATTTCTAAGAGTTGCAGGAATGGCATTCTTCATATCTGCTCTGAACCAGAAGAGGGAGAGCTTTTAGGATTCCATAGTCTGGGCAGAAAGTGTTGCTGCTTTCTGCCCCTTTGATCAGAGGGACAGCTTTTAGGATTCCTTAGTCTGGACAGGAAATGTTGCTTTCTACCCGTTAATCAGTGGGATCTAGCTTTGGAGCTCAGCCAGAGAAGCTCGGGGGGGGGGGGGTTCTAACCCAGTAGCTGGCACAAGAGGTAGGGCGTATTTTTATGCCCGCCCATCACAGTACTGAATAAAGTTTCAACTTGGACACAAGGCACATGCAAGGAACGGGCCCTGATCTTTACATGTAGCTTATGAATACTGAAACTTTTAAATTTCTGCAAACATCATGAATTTTTATTTGGCCCCCTCATTTGAGCACAAGTGAACATCAGTTTCGGTTAAATGTGGGCAAACACCCACATGGACCTAACTTGTATAAATAACCCTCTAAAAATTCCCTTGGTTTTGTGAATGGAGGCTTCCTGCCTTGTAAACTGTCATTTTCCTAGTCACAAGGCATGTAATGCTCTTAATATTTTTCTTTCTGCTAATACTGCAGTAATACAGGAAAGTAATCCCATCTTACCCATGCTTCTTCTTTTCTCAGATATCAAAATCCATAAATTATGTAATGTTTTGATAGTAGAGCATACCAGAATATGACTTTCTAATCAAATTTCCAGATTCAGGGTCTGAAGAAGAATAGCTAGGAAACATACAGGACACAAGAATCCAATAGGAACATTATGTCCTGTTTTTAAAAGGTTAGGATTCGGATGAGATAGCCTGTAACAGTTAAAGGAGGTGGTTTGTTTTTCATTTTGTTTTAAATCTCTAAACTTGGCCTCTCCTCACCTTAACAAGACTTACTAGGTAGGTCCAGGATGAGATCCTAAGCAAAGTCAGTGATTTATGTAAGAACACAGACACATGAAAATAGAGATTATAAGAACATTTCTTCTTAGAGTTTATAAGTTTTACTTTTTAGCTTTAAAAGTTATGTATACAATACCAGTATTCATTGGTAAACAAAGTTCAAGCAGTTGAACTTTCACTGAGAATCTGCTGCTTTAAAAAAAAAAAAAAATTACCACCATCCTGAGCTGCCCTCAACCCATATTATGCTCTTGGAGGAAGATAATTCATATATAGATGCTTGTGTTACAGCACTTAACATGGTCATAATTTTACATGTGTGTGTTTCTTTGAATAATACATGTCCCAGCCCATCTGCATTATAAACTTTCCAAAGCAGGCATTTGTCTTTGCTTGCTGCTGCTTCATCATTCACAGTGCACAGCTGCCTGGCACATAAGGTGTGCAATAAAAATTTGTTGCAAAAATCAGTGTGGTAATAGTAGCTGTTTTTCTTAACTGATCATTAATATTTAGCAATTTATAAGTTAGTAAAAACTGAATTGTTGATTGTAGTTTGTGGTTGCATAGCACTCCAGAAGCCAACTGCCTGTGGTCTTTCATACAAAACATCATCTGTAGTAGGATATGTATATCAAGGCTGTGAGTGGCCCCCTTGTTTCAGCAGTATTCTGGAGTAGGGATGCCACCCTAGGAAGGATATACACTGCCCCTGCAGCTCCTAGAAGAGGAACTAAGGATGGGAAGGAGGGCAGACTGACTGTAGAGTTACCACAAAAACAAAGACTTTGAGGGCTTTGATGCTCAGATGGTTCCCTATCTTCTTCCAGCCAGATAAGTATGTTGAAGTCAGCCAAACCCTAAATCCCTCTGATTTGGCTGCAGGAATAATTCACCATTTTATGGCCCAGCATCCTCTTGTCATCTCATCAAGACTAAAACTGTTTCATTTGTGGCTGGAAACAAAGTGTTTTAAAGTTTATTTTGCGAGAATGAGCAGTGATTTTTTTTTACTTTTTGTCTTTTCTGTTGTGTTTCTACCTTCTGACCATGAAAATGCATTTTATATAAAAATATTTTATATCCATAAAATATGCATGTACACATATAAAAATATGTTTATGTCAGTAAGGGTTATCTGGTGCTGCAGAATTATTGCCTAGTTTTTTTTCTCTTCTGGATACTTTTATGTATTAAAAGAATTTTTTAGAGCTGTTATTTGGTGTGTCCTATTTTCACACTTGTCTACTTTTTTTTTTTTTGTACTGAGAAACTCAGGACCTTCCACTTGCCAGGCAGGCATGGTGCCACTTAGCTAAATCCTAGCCCTCATCTACTTTCCATAGTTACAAATAGGTCCTACTTTTTCTCTCAAGACTTCTAAACCCCTCTGCTCCCACCCATGCTGGGCAACGTAACTTCTTAAAGAATCTCCTACCATTCTTTCCTTCTCCCTCCCTCTTCCTCTTGCCTCCTTTGTTGAGCTGATTGTGCATGTCCACTGATGTTCAAGTACTTGGTCATTAAATTATATGAATCAAGATACTTGTTTGCACAAAGCTTACTTTCATCTAGGAACACAAATGCTAATCAATTTGTTGCATGCAAAAGGGTATAAGATAATTTATATGTAGTTATAGTGATTTAAAGCTTTACATGATTCTGTTCTTTCCATTCATGGGGAATCAGACATGAAAGGAGTTTTGTAGAAAATAAGGGAAATGAGTATGTTTAAAAGAGGTGATTGAGCAGGATTGAAATAGAGGCATAGTTACATAATCAGAGAATAAAAGGTAGAGGATGTGGAGAAAGCAAAAAGATATAATCAACCACACTGAAGTATTACTTTCTTTTTCATCTCTTACTCTGTCCCTGCTAAGGTTCCATTTAGTTTTCCCATAGCCTATTTACATAAGAAATATGATCACATTTTTACTGGTTCTCTCTCATCACTCTCCCTTCTTTTCAGGAGCAATTCCAGAAGTCCGCAGATTTACAAAAAGAAGGACTGCTGCAGACATTTCTGCTCCAGGAAGACAAGGATAGAAGCCACAGAGACCATGGAAATGATGAGCGTCCTTGTGGCCAGTAGGCAACCTCTAGGGCCTGACTTCCAGAAGGTGGGTATGGCTGTGGAGAATGCCCTGCCATTTTAGTTACAAGGAAATGGTGAGTTGAATATATGAGTGAATATATCTGTGTCTTTGAGTCAGTAGAAGAGGACAAAATGAGATGACATAATGGGTGTGTATTTTTTTAGACTTGTCACTCCATATCTTATTCAACATTGAATAAATTCTCTGTTCAATTTCCATCTCTCATTTTGTGCCATGATACTTATATTGAAACTGTGGGCTTTAGGCCTTCCCATTCTACTATACCTTCAAATCCCTAGCAAGTAGAATATCTTCTGTCTTGGTTCTAGCTCCCTTAAGAATCAAGAATAAAATTGCAA